ATTTTCTCGCAATTCTTGTCGGCCACTATCGGGCCGGACGTGGCGCTCAAACCAGTGATCTGTTTGATTAGACTTAACGCTAATTGCTGTTTGAACGGATAATTTGAATATCTGTTGTCCTTTTTTATGCAAAACTATATTTACTTTATTTTGCAAACAATTGTTTTCATTAATGAGTGAATTAATGAATGAAAGGTTCAAAATGAATACCCTTTTTATTTGGTGTGTATTTTTAGTATTGAGATTTCAATCTAATTCTCATCTCTTTATATTCCGCTATAAATCTTATGATAACAACGATTAGCATTCACTGTCTGTCCATATATTATGCAATAATACGAGATTTTGTTGTTTTGCTGTTTTCTTTCGGAGTGAAAATTATCTCTTATTTGTGTTTTAAAATAATTATTTTTTGATTTTTGCTTTTCGTTAGCCTTTTATTTGAGACCGGAATTCGTATGAAGTTTTTTAGTGCTGTGTTTATGCTTTGCATTTAATTAATAGTCTATTAATGAAACGGCAAATGAGTTGTGAATTTGTTGTGTTTGGTATCCACCGGACAGACCGGTACTCATACACAGTATATCTCTCTCTTTGTATGTCTCTCCCACTGATTGCTATCATTATTATTATACATATCATAGGAAATGTATATCAATTCATATATAATTTGAATGTATTTGCATTTAAAAACATTGCCTATGAATGTAATATCAATTGTAATGCAATATTTTTCTGGCCATAAGTTGAACCGAAAGCATATGGTCTCTGAGAAACTCCTGATTTGTTTCTTTATACAAGATTTTTACATAATTTGTATTTTTATTCAGATTTGATATGTATTTATAAGTAGTTTATATTTGAATGTTAGGTCAGTGCTAACAATTGATTAGGCAATTGATATAATCATGGCTTCACTTCTAAATGTACGCTAAACTCAAGAATTTAATATATATTTTCCTTCTCTCACATGAATTGCTTTGTGTTTTCTTTGAGATATGATTTTGATTTGAAGATTAAGGAAATGCTATACAATATATAACACAACACAATGAAAGCCCTTATGTTTTTGATAGAGAAAAAAGGAAACATTGATTTGAATAAAAACAATAATTTTGTTTATCAAAAAAGGAGGCATTTCTTGTGCCCATTCATTGTGTGTGTCGTTAGTGTTTAGGGGAATGTGAGGGTCAGTCAGGTTTTGGGTTCGGTGTCTGCCTATACACAGGCGCTCACATAGACTAACAATTACTGACCGAATGGCTCGTTATTATCCATTCACTCATTCGTTTCATTCATAATATGAGAAAATCTATGAATTTATAAATTCTTTTCAATCCGTTTGGTTGTGAAATGCATTGCAATTTGAATGCAAAACTGATTTCAATTTCAAAACTGGTTTTTCGCCACTAAAAAATTGGTTTACAATTGAATGGTTGATCTCTCTTCCCATCGCACAGATATCAGGGACATGTGAGCGCAGCACTGGTTCTGGGAGGGGTCGACAACACCGGCCCGAAGCTCACCTCTATTGCCCCGCACGGCAGCACCGATACGCTTCCGTACGTGACTATGGGATCGGGATCTTTGGCCGCAATGGCTGTGTTTGAGGCGCGTTGGAAACCGGACCTCAGCGTACGATTTGATTTCAATTATTACTATTTAATTGTCACTCAATTATGACAACACATTATTTTGCCGTTCAATAGCTGGAAGAGGGCCAGCAATTGGTGAGGGACGCGATCGCCGCCGGTATATTCAACGACTTGGGCTCCGGCAGTAACATTGACTTATGTGTGATCACCAAAAACGCGGTCAATTATATGCGCCAATACGATGAGGCCAACAAAAAGGGCGTCAGGTATGCACTTGTGTCCCATCAATGTAGACAATGTACACAATGAGACATTAAAATATATGTTTTTCGCCATTTGATTGCGATTGAAGGCAAGGAAGATATCAGTTCAAGAAGGGAACGACCGAAGTATTGGAAACAAAAGTGATTACTTTGGATGTGGAGTCAGTGGTCGTGCGTCCGATAGAGCCCATGGATCTCTCATAAAGGAGTATTTTAGAAGTGAATTGAATTGAAAAACGATTTTTAAACGGAATTTTTTATATGTAATGTCCTAACGATTACTATATTTTTCCCAACAATAAATTTCTTGTTTCCACAAAAATTGTTTTTTTTCAGTTTTGATATGAATAGACATTTTGCTGTATAACCGAAAAACTGTTCATTTCTTTGAGCAGTAAATTGACGTTAAATTGTGGATATTTTTGTATCCATTCATTCAGTGTTTATTTCTTTCTCTTTTTGTCGTATTCTCAGCTCTTTTGTTACAATAAAAGCAAAATATTTTACAACACATTTTGTGAATAGAAAATAACTGTTTTGATACCCTTTTTACGGGCAAACAATATCTAATATCTATACTAAACGGCATAAAACACACACACGGAAGGAAAGGCAACTATTTTTTAATCTTAAAAAATTTGTTAAAACAGTTAAGTAGCGTCTCGTGTGTCTGTTGAGTGAGTTTTCTGGACAGCGCTATCAGTCGATCGCACAATGCATATGCGATTACACATTAATGTATACCTTATATACCTTTTATGTTACAAATTCTTTACTCTCTGTCTCTCATCCGAATAATTTTGAAAATGAATTAAACAAAAAAGGAGTTTCAGAATAATTCGCTTTGCATTTAGTTGTGTGGCTCTAGAGATGGATGGGGTGGTGGGGCAGAGGGGGAGGACAGGGTTGTAGTGGTGGTGGACTTTGCAGTCTCTATGCGTCTGCCGATAGTGTGTCTGGTAATGAACTCTATTGTGTTGCCGGCGTTGGCCTGGCCTTGACATACACGTAGTCCTGCCCTTACAATCCAATCGAGCACTGGATTAACCCCTAAGAGCTAAACCAGTTTTACACTCCTCTATCGAGACATATACATCACTCACTCACTTATTCTCTCTCTCTCTCTCTCTCTCTCTCTCTCTCGATTACTTAAGACACCTTTTGACGATCATTTTGTGCATCCATTCAAACACTGTCTAAATCACAAGAAGTGTTTTTTTGTAGTAAATGCCATACAATCGGTCAACCGATTCAATCAATTCAGTCAGTCATTCAATCAGTCATTTGCATAAACACTACACAACATCGACTCAACCGAACTTTTTTGCAAGTCAGCAATCAATTGCAGGTCTCTCTCTCTCTCTCTCTCTCTCTCTCTCTCTCTCCATTTATTCATCCATTAATTCATTCACTCGATAACAGAAACATTATCATTAACTCTAGTTTACAATTAAATTCACATAAAAATATTTTAATACCTAATAAGCAAAACCGCATACAATAGGCACTTGTAAAGTGCACTTCGAGATCCACTCCCGTAATAAAAATCATGGCATATATTATAAGACAACTGAATAACTCTCTGAGAGGATTCTTAGCATTTTAATGGGATGATTAATAAGCGTCTGTTTTCCCATACATAACCATTCATATGGTTAACAGCAATGCTTTGTTACGGGGACTGGTGTGGCAACCACTGGACGACTGGTCTCAGTACCCAATTCCCAGACCTACCCATTATATCTAGATGTCTAATTCTCACTACCATTTTGCTCCACTAGATTAGATATTAAATATTGTTTTTGTCGTATCAATGTTTAGTCACCTGTGGGTTAGTCGGCACAAGTATTTCTCACTCCTCGTAATTGTTCATCTAATATAAGATTTATAACTTATATAATCGTGTAATTGAAGGCCATGTATGGTCAGGACGGGTGTGGACTTCAAGTTAGATGGAAAAGCATTTAAAACAATATTATCATACATTTTAAAACTAGTTTACAATAAATATTTGGCATTTATTTGTAAGAATTGCAAAGTTTTTGCTACATTTGATTAACAATGAAGACATTATTGGCAATGAAAAGATTACTGCAATTCAATGATACGTTTTGTTTGCATTAATTTTTTGTTGTTCTTTAGGGCAGTTATTCAATGAGAAGAAGTGGCCATAAATTTCTTAAGCTTTACAAAACCGGGAGATTATAAAGTTGTATGAATGGTATGGTATGGGAAACCCCTGAAACTCATCGGCACAATAGGCTGTGAAAATGTGTGAGAGTTATACACATTTGTAGCGGTCTTTATTCCCTTATCGTATAGACCAGTGCTTTACACCATAAAAGGTTTGATCCATTGGAGTAGTGCTTACAATAATATGCATTGCAATCGCATTACATAACAGTAACTATTATATAAGAGCCGTTGCGTATACCATGCAAGCCATGCAAACAGGTAGAGTCAGGCCCAATGGTCAGGCATGTAAGCGCACATCAACAGCTCCGCAACAAGCCTTTCCCAGTTCTCAGCCTACACTCCGAACGCTGAGAGAGAGAGAGAGAGAGAGAGAGAGAGAGAGAGA